GTGGATTTGTATTTATATTTTTTGTTTGAAGTTAATTGTGTCAACAAAATTAAACATGATGCTTCTATTTTTCATGGTAGCTACATTGGTTATAGTTATGAGGGTGGTAGAAAACAAGAAAATGCAGCCATGGAACATATCCATTATCTTTATTTGTTATATTTGGTGAATGAGATAAGTGAAATATGATTTGTGCAGTCTGCAAATTTTAAATAAAATATGGTTAAGCTTTTTTTTTTTTCCTTTTGTGGGTGCACTACTTACTGGATATGTGTGCACTGCAAATATGTTTTGTGCAATCTGCAAATTTTAAATAAATGGTGGGTATGCATTTTTGTTGTTCATCCGTTGGGTGCACTGCTGACTGCATATGTGTGCACTGCTGCTTTAGGGGTGTGGCGAAGTTCAGTGTTTATATGGCACTTAGTATGTGTCCTTTGTTGTCATTTTAATTTTTAGTTTGGAATGGTTGGTGGATCATATGCTTGGTTGTGTTTGTTCTTTTTGCAGCTAAAAAGTCTAGGTGCGCACAATCGGATGCGGGTCTTTCTGGAGTATCTGATGGCGATAGTGATTTTGTGTCGCCCCCGCCTAGGGTGGTACATTCCAGGTTTCAGCAAGAGCCACCGCAGGAGGATGTTCCCGAGTATGAGTTGACCGTTGAGGAGGATGCGTTGTATCCTAGGGCGAAAATGAGGGGACAAACGGGGGTATTGGTAAACGCCTTGAAGGATCTTAGCTTTCAACAGAAGGCTGACATTCGGGAGCTCGGGTTTGGGGCGTTGCTTGAGTTCAACATTGTGGACGTTCCACCGCGTCTTTTGCGATGGTTACTATTTAATTTTGATTTGCAGTCGAAGTCATTTGATCTTGGGGGTGGGAGATCATTGGTTGTAGATGAGAGTGATGTCGAGTTGATTTTGGGGTTTCCACGGGGTCATGTTAAGATGGTTCCACGGGATAAGCTTAAGGTGAGCAACACCCTCAAACATTGGAGGGGTCTATTTCAGAAGCGGAAGCACAGGGTGACTGCGGCGGAGATTAGTCAGAGGATGGTGGAAGCCGTTGATGGTGAACTCTGGTTTAAGCGGCATTTCCTTGTGTTAGTCTTGTCGTCCCTGGTTTGTTGTATGTGTAACGGTTACTCGAACCAGATGTATTTTCATCATTTTGAAGATGTGTCGAGTGTCCGTGATCTAGACTGGTGCAAGCTTGTGGTCGACACTTTAGTTGAGACGCAGGCTGCGTGGCGTTCTGGTCGGCATAAGTTTTTCTTGGGCCGGCTGAGTTCATTACGGTGTTGTTGCTATTCTTGTCTTGAGTTATGTGTGTTGTTTTATTTGTTCCAACTAATATTGTAATATTTTTTCATGTATTTCTTTTTGGTGTTTTTCTAGTTGCTTTATGTAGATCGGGTTGTGCATGGTGCCCGCGTTTTCCCTCGGTCTGTACCTGCTCTTCGTGGGTGGTCGTCACCTTTGCTACGTCAGCGTGAGTTCGTTGAGATTCGGAGTGGAGGGTTTAGCCTTGGTGGCATTGAGCCCCCGGTTCAGGTGTGTGGTGGGGGGGATGAAGGTGATGATATCCCGCCGGTTGAATATGGGCCTAGGGTATGGTTTTTTTTTTTTTTTTTGTTGGTTTGCTTATGTTTATGTTTTAAGTGTGCACATGTCTTTTGCTGCGGGTGCACCTGTCATTCAAGGTGTCTTTGTGGATTTTAATCGCACTTATTCGCTTTGTTGTCTTGTTTTTGTTTGGATAGACATTTGGTGATGTTGTAATTCAAACAACAACGAAGATAGCGAGAGAGGTGTTAGAGTTGGTGGAGCAAGGGCCGGATGGTGCTTTCGGTGGTGATGTGCTTCGAGGGGTTTTTGATGCCATCAAGTCTCTTCGGGTGATTGTTGCAAATCAGCGTGACGCGTTATCCGATGATATGCCGTCCTTCAGTCTGGGTATTACGCAGGATATAGCGGATTGTGGTTGGGGTGATATTGAGGCTGTGTTGCGGGACTTGGTCCCGTCAAATACTGGCATTCTTGATTCTGATGTGGTGGGTATTATGCCAATTTTGATTTTATTAGTTTTATAAGGTTGTTTGGCCAGTTTCTTGTGTGCATTCGGCTTAGTGGTTACATTATGTGGGTTTTGAACTATTTTTTTGCTTTTGTTTTGACTTTTTAAGCTCATTATTGTCTTGTTATTATTATTTTTTGTTTTTGCCGAATAGGGTGGTTCAAATGGTGGTAAGCATGGGGCAGGTTCTGAGGGTGCTCGGCCGGCGGTGACTGATGAACCTGCGTCTGCCTCTCATCCGGTTGCTACACCTGTGTCTGCTGGGGTGGTACGTATAATGTGTTCTGCGTAGTTACTTAGGGATATGTTTCAATTTGTGTTTGCAAACATGTGGGTTCTTCTCGGCGGGGTGAGCATACTAGTGTTAATGTGGGTGCACATTGCATGTGGCCTATGTTTGATCTAGTTACTTGGTGAAATGTGGTGTTGTTCGATTTCTGTCTTCCGTAGGGTGGGGGTGCTGCAGTACAAGCTGGAGAGTGTGTTGTTCCTGGGCACGGTGAATTTGCGATGGCTACGCCAGTTCAGCATGGTTTGGTATGTGCTTTTGTTTTTCGTGTATGCAGTGTGCACATGAATTGACTGTGGTGTGTATGGCACTGTTCACTGGCTATTCCCACGGGTGCACGATCGCATGGTCCAGGGTTTATAACCTTTCAGCGCGATATCCCCCGCTGTGTGTGTTTTTTTGTGTTGTTTAATTATGTTATTTTGGTGTGCAGCCATCAATACCTGCGGGAGAGGCCATTGGGTGTCGGTCTGCTGGCCCTCTGTGTCAAGCACCTTTGAAACCTTGTCGGGGTGGTACTCGGGCGCCGAGTAGTGGTCCTCCGGGGGTGTCGCGCCTAGATATCGGCGCATCCGGTTCCACGAGTTCTATGGCTTTGCCCGACTTGGACTAACCGGATGAGGGAGTGATTTGCAATTGGTTGTTGTGTGCTGCAGATGCGAACATGTTAGTTTCTGAATCTATTTTTTGCTATGCAGATTCTGTTTCGTATGGTTAGTTCATGTGTTTTTTGTTTATCTTTGTGTGTTGTAGGGATGATATATTGTTCGATGTTAGTGGTAGGGCTGCTCGATGGGGGGATTTGTTGTCACTTGCACCCGGGTCGTTGGTTGAGGTTGCCGTGGTAGATGCGTGGGCATGTCTTTTGAATTGTCGAGAGCGGTATAGGGCCCCTTCTGCCCCTTCCCGTTTTTTTGCATCCACTCTTTCCACGGTTTGTTTCTAGTCCGTACCCTTATGGTAAGGTTTTTTTTTTTGTGTGTGGTTATGTGTTTTGATTTTGCATATTTGATTGTTCTTGAAGCTTCGTACGGTTGTGGATACCTCTCTTGATCTGGATAAGCGGATTGCTATGTTTAAGGAGAGTCTCTACGGGGAGTTTGAGATGACGCCTTACCAGCATATTAATGAAGTTGACATGGTATGTTTGGCTTTCTGCTTTTTTCAGTGTACTGTTCCTTGCCCCTATTGTTAGTTCTGTTGTGCACCCGGTGGCTGCCTTTTGTGCACTCAGCCCAGATTTGGTTTTACTTTTTGGTGTGGGATGCTTTGCTTGTAGTCATTGTATGTCTTCACCCATTCATGGTTGTTGGTTGCAGTTTATGTTTCCCATCCTGCGCCAGGGACACTACTTTCTTCTTTGCGTCGATTTTCGTAATATCCGGTTTGAGATTATTGACAATTCGACGCTTCAGTCCAACAAGCAGTTGAAGTATGGTGATTGTCCGGATGACTTGGTAGGGTTTTTGTCAAACTTTTTATACTTGTCTGATTGTGTGACCAAGCTTTTACTTGCTTAACTTTTTGTTATGTGTCTTTTTGTTTGGTATTCATTCGACACTTGGAATTTTGCTGTAGCTGCACATGCTTATGGAGTTCTTTAAATCCATCGACCCGACAAGGTCTACGATGTGTGAGCTTTTGGATGCGAAGCGTATGCAGATGAGCTGGCGGGATGGCAAGAACAAGATTGACTGTGGCGTGTATGTTATGCGTCATATGGAGAGTTATTTAGGTCAGGGAGTTACCAGATGGAAATGCGGGCTTACCAAAGGTAACACTGCCCAGCTCAAGAAGCTGAGGTTGCGATACATGAAGGAACTTACTACCTCCGAATTCAATTTACATAACTGTCGAAATATCTCCAGGGCGTATCATTCCGTGAAGTCTGTATCAGGGGCTCTATAGTGGAGTTTTAGTTCGTAGTTTTTTTGGTTTTGGATTTTGGCCTCCTTTTTGCAGTTTTTAGGCCTAGTGGTGTTATTATTTTCGATGGTGATCTTATTTGCGAATCTTAATTATGGTTTGTATATGCATGTACTGGTACATGCATTGTGCTCATGGATATTATTATTATGATTATTTTTAATGGTAGATTTAGTTCGTTATTAGCGTGTATGAAAACTACTAACATCGGGGTGTGCACGGTGACGGTAGATAGTGTGCATAGCTTGATCGGAATAATAACATCGGGGTGTGCACAGTGACGGTAGATAGTGTGCATAGCTGGATCGGCATACTAGTTGGCGGTTGCGTTTAAGGCCAATTTATTGAAAACTCTGTGTGCACAACGATGGTATACGGTGTGCGTAGCTGCGAGTCTTAGTTATTTTGACTAAACTGGGTGGGTGCGCAATGGTGGTAGACGGTGTGCATAGCTGCGAGTCTTGCCTACTTGACTAAACTGGGTGTTCACATTGTTATTAGATGGTGTGCGTTAGCAAAACAAATAAAGTAGTTGTCTATTGCCATACATGGTTATTAATAAAATATGTACCCCTGTGCAAGGGTGGTAGATAATGTGCATAGCTGAAAAAACTAATTACCAATAATGGGTGTAAATCTAAACTTTGACAAGTATTTAATTGAAATTCCAAATGAGCTAGTATTCATAGTGATGTAAAATACAAACAGGCTACTCGTCTGGTAGGGCTTTTCTTTCTGGACAGTTCCTGCTGTCGTGCCCCGGCCGGTCACAGGTAGCGCATGTCCTCACCTTTTTCTTCCCTTTTTCAGTTGCTTTCTCTTTGTTGCTTTTTAATCTTTTCCCACTACCTTTGTTTTTTGCAACGCTTGGTGGTTTGATTTGGATCTCGGCAAGTGCAGTGGCGTTTAGTATTGATTCGATCACTGATTGTGGGGTGGTGCTTGCTCTGGTTTGTTGTCTGGCGCTTTGTAACCTCCCTTTAAGTTCTTGCATTGTTGATAACATTATATCCATTTCGGTTGGGCATCCATTAGCCAATCCCATGCAGTTGTAGAACTCATTCCAAAGTTGTGTGGCAATTGTTCGTAATTCATTCCCACCCTGTGTATTACTGCATGCTTTCCACACAACATTGTACATTGGCTGCGCACACGCACTCTTAGTCCATCGGGGAACAATATAGCATCCTGGTATTTCTTCCACGCCTTCGTTCTTGAACACGGCCAACACATGCTTACATAATAGTCCTACTCTGTTGAATTTGTTACAATTGCATTCTGTTCTTTTAGTAGATTCTTCGTGCGTTACCTCAAATATATTTCCCCCCGTTTCATGAACAGTGTACTTGTAACCCCCATCATCATTTGTCTTGCATGTGATTTTTCATGTGAAGCTTCCTTCCCATATTTCTTCCTGGAAGTCGTAGAATATGTTTTTGGTGTACATTGCAGCAGCTTGGCGTTCTATGGCCAATGGGGTTTTGGTTTCAGGGAATGAACTTTCGCCCTCGGCGTCCAGCTGTTTTTGGTGGTACCTCTGTTCTCCGATGGCGCGGTTGTATTGCATTATGAACTCTACCAAGCTGTTGTGGTGATTGGTGAATTTGTCAAAATAACTGTTCTCTGATTCTGACCATGATGTTGTTTTGAGTAGTCCCCCATGAATATATCTTGGAAATATGCAGGTATCCATGATGCACGGGCTTTGTACATTTGATCAAACCACCGGTGTTGAACAAGGTTGTACTCCTGCATTACCTTTGCCCATTTCAATTCGAATGCAGTTACACTTAAAGTTTCGTCCCATACTGCATTGTTCAGTGCCTTTCTAAACTCCATGTTTTGTGCTAGTGCATTCCCTACCTTGTCCCCCACTTTTTCCATGATGTGCCACATACAGAATCGGTGCCTTGTTTCCGGCATAATGTTAGGTATTGCGACCTTTAATGCAGGGTCTTGATCTGTAATAACACATCTTGGTGTATAAGCCCATCGCGGTTTGAAGTTTTTTAATAGCCACTCGTACGACTCCACGTCCTCTCTTGCAATGAGCCTGCCCCAAATGTAATGCTCCGTTTATGGTTGTCGACTCCTGTAAACGGTACAAATACGAGCTTGTATCTGCATGTTTTATGTTGTAAAGTAATTAGTGCACACGCGCATAATCGTAATAACAGCTTTGCAGACAGAAATACGTAAAACAGTTACAAAATTGATGATTCCTACCACAGTTAGCAAATGTTTTTTGGAACCATGGTATACTGCATGCACACAGGGATGCATACGAGTGCACACTGCACCCTTTACCCAGTTTAACGTTTAATTACAAGCCACCCATACGGTTAGTGGTATTAAAAGTACCTCATGCTTATTACCCATGCATATTGTATGTAGCCGACTATCATGCTCTAATCCAGTGGATATTCATTATAATTGTAAGTCAGTCGCGTGCAATTCAGGGGTATAGATCCCCATGCACACTTACATGCATAGTCGTGCACTCAACCTATTTTGGCTCCATAACCACAGGTTCGGCCACTCCCACCCCCATTGTTAAAGAAAAATAAATGACATGATCATACAGTTTTAAACGGGCATGTACACAAACATTTTTCTTAAATTAAATTATTTTAATTGTTGTGATGTGTACCTGTTTGTGCTGTAAGTTGCGTCGAATGACATCACATCGCCAAAACATGCATAATTCTTCCGGGATATCGTGTCTGCCCAAAAAGCTTGCATAGCCTCCCTGTCTTCGTTGAGATCAAAATCGAAGTAGAAGTCTGGTTCCATCTCTTTATTTTTGTACATATCTTCTACTACCATTTGTGCATCTGCTCCGGCAATATATGCCAACAAGTCCCTTCTAAAATGCAGAAATCGGTGGATGTTGCTCCTATATCTGAAAAACTTCCAACCATTTCCTTGTATAGCCTCCATGATTTTGTGGAACCAATGTTTGCCCTTGCACAGTTTGCTACGAATATTTTGTGTCCAATATCTAGCTTCCTATTTATTTTAAGAAATGACCTCCCAATGTCAGAACATAGCAGTTGTGTGCCATAGCTCAAGTGCATGATTATGTAGCTACCGCTTTTGTGTCTTGTGAACCCGATTCGGGCGTTACAACCAACACGAGTTGATAGCCGGCGCCTTTTCTTCGGTGAGGTGGTGGTTCCTTTGTTGCTACTACTCATTTTTTTTGGGCTTGTATCCTTCCATGAGCATAAAATATATTTTATATGGACTGCCCCTGCCCTGTTCCATCGCTTCGTCCCGTGTCGGATATCGAATCCGGCGATGGCTGCGTATGCCCGTAGAAGTCTACTCCGTTTTCTAGTGATGCAAATTCTTGCCCAATGTATGGGGTGTTTTCGCTTTTGCAGTTCGGTAACCATTGCTTCGTTCCATCGGGTAATACTACCATGTTGCACTCCGTTGCTTCGTCTCCATTGTGTTGTGCTCCTATAAGTCAGAAATGGGATTTTTGGTCAAATAATAGAACACTTGTATGCCGATGTCAACACTGTTAACGCTATGTACAGTATAAGTAAAAAATATGTGTAAGCACGTGTGTCCAAACTATGACGTCCTGTGTGCATTAAAACCTAGTTCTGGTGCATCGCGTAGCCCAGATACGGGCGTGCAGACCTCACCACATCATGCTGCCCCGTATTGTTTTTTCCCCAAAATTTAGTTCACAAAATGATATGCCTACCATAGGATTGCGTGATCATGTGGATTATCATTTATTATGACACCCATTAATTAGCACTCCATTCAACAGAGTTCGCTCAAAAATTGAATCTTGAGCATGGCCCTATTCAAACGATATACGGTGTACGTACCTGGGTTCAGAGCCTCCATGGATTCCGGTATGGCGTCGAATTGAATGGGGTCTATTCTGTCGTCCACGGTCGGTTGTAATTTTGACCGTTCGTAATTGATTTTAGTTTCGTCCGGTATGGCGTCGTAATTTTGTCCGTTCGTACACAGGTTTTCGGTGGCAGTGATGGGATGTCTTCAAATCCTACGCACTTTGAACTTCCTTGTTCGTAGCATAACATACCAGTGAATTCTATTCCTTTTCTGATTAATATGCTTCCGTGTAAGAGGGTGGTGCATTCCCTATATTACCCTTGCATATTGTTAATCCGTGTGTAGTAATCAGCCTTCATCTAGTCCATTGATCTAATCACATCTTGTGGCTAGAGTATGTCCGCACGTTTGTATTTAAGGGGTTTGTATTGGAATGCAACCCATATATATATATATATATATATATATATATATATATATATATATATA